ATAAATGTTTCAATACTCTCGATAAAACAGCGAATAAGAATGTGTGAACAGTTTCTTACGTCACTTAGAGGTGCTCTAATTTGTGTTGATATTTGTAGGCTTTCATTTGTAATTTATCAGGACAAATTAATGATTGAAGAAAAAGTTAAATCATTCACTAGGTACTTGGGTGTGAGGTACATTAAGTGTAAGAACTAATGATACTATCCGGCTGCCAAAACCGAAGTAAGCAAAGCAGGTTTCGAACCAGGGACTTAGTGGTTGAAAGTTGGTGACCTTAACCAACGTTAAATTATGTGGTTGAAAACCAGTTTTAGAGACAGTTTCATTCATTTCTTAGTGAATATTAATCTCTTGATTTCTTTTTACTATATATTGTATTGCCCCAACGAGTACTAGTTTCTTTTTTGTTTCTTAATTGATATGTTAAATCTATGAATTTGATATTTTATTGATTTGTACCTTTCTCTAGTTATGGTGAACTATCATAAATTCTCATCTGTCACTGAAAAGGATTTAAATTACATGATACAAAGATCGTCTTTATTGTCATAATTGTGGCTTAGAATTAGTGAACTTCATAAAATTTCCTTTTAAAATTAAGTTTAATACTCACGATTTCTAAAATTAGCATTTTATCCCCATTTACCTAACAAACCGAATCTTTGAACTAAATAAAATTAGTCTCTTGTTACTCCTGTCACTTCGTTGGCTAAAGTTGTTTTATTTTTATGAGAACAGATAGACATAATCAAAATAGAGCCTGAGACAGATGTGTATGTTGGCCCAAGTTGTCATACCTGATTAACAAGACGAGGCGAACATGTCTAACATTGTTAATCGTATCCAGCCAGTTAACTATTTAACACTAAAAATCAAGTTACCACTGAGAAATCGAATTTCCACTAAACTGGTTAGTAGTAATCATTTTGAATCCAAGTAGTTATAATAGTACCATTGAACGATTTGTTGACTGTTCATATTACATATAATGCATATTATTTATTATTCCCAAATTCATTATCCTCACTACCGTTGATATTGTTATTATTGGTCTCATTCTTTTGGTTTTTATCTTGTTAATATTCCTTCCTACTGCAATGTTATGAGTTTTAGCAAGTTCATACTGTCTATGGATGAATGAATCATTGTTTTAAAAGCGTAAAACCTAGAAAATTCAAATAAACTATTTTTGTATAAATCTCCTTATTTGTCTTTTATGTCTCAATAGTACAACTATTGTTTTCGAGGCATAGTGATTAGTGTCATGATTTACTGACCAAATCAATAGACTCCCAATCAGTAGGTCATGGGTTCAAACTCATCATTACCTAACACAGTTTAGCGCATTAAGCATTTTTACTAGCTCTTACATAAAAAGTGTGGGCTGTAGCTCATCATACAAACTTGTACTTTTTAAACCAATTTATATTCATCTACGTCATTCTAACCGTTGATTTCGATTGCTTCGTATGCCACTAATCTATCGCTGCTACATCTCTTTCTACATAACTTAAATCTGGTCATCAAATCTATAAAATATCTTGGTATATGGTAGCTTTTCACTTTTGAATTAATTAAGTGAATCAATCAATTTTTCACATCCAATCATAATAGTATTAATAGTTTAATCAGTCTAATTTATAATTTTTGTCGTTCAACTTTTATTGTCGTTATTGTTCTTTTCCCCCCCTATTTTTTTCTTTCTTTAGCATATTCCATTTTTCTTAGAAGATATAAATGAACCAGATGATTATTTCAATATACCAATAAATTATCGTAAAGAATTTGTCAATAAACTTTATCAACATCAAATTTATTATGCATTCGCTGGTCATTTACATAAAAACATTATAGCAAATTATATCCCATTAATAATTGATGAAAATAATGATCACATCAATAACAACAATAATAATAAATCATTTTCAATGATCAGTTCATCATCTGTTTGTGTTCAATTAGGTAATGATCAACCAGGAATTCGTCTTGTGCAAATTGATACTACTACTACTAATAATAATAATAATAATGAAAATGATGACTTTCTAAAGCATGTGTATTGGACGTTGGATGAATTAGAGGAAATTTTAAACTCTGGTAAACAACCGGAAATTTAACGGTTCTTAGACATTAGGTTATTTTACAACCTTGTTTTCTTACAATGTGTAACGTCATAATATTTGTGCTTTTTTTTGGATGGGGGCATCATGTGAAAGGACTTATGTTTGTTTTTGAAAAAAAGGAAGAAAAAAATAAGAGAATGTTTCTTGAAAATGATCTGTTTTTTCTTGTTTTCTCCCTATTTCTTAATTATATGTGTTATGTTTGTGATTGAATTTTCTACGGTTTGTTTTAATTGCATCATTGTTTTAATCAATTGAATTGCTTGGGGTATTTTTTTCGCTCTTAGTGTATTATTAATTTAATCATAGATTCAATGTTTCAATAATTTGCGTTTAAAAGTTGATATATTCAACTGATATACATATATATGTACATTGTTCAAAAGTAATTTGAATAATAGAGAAAGTTATATTTTATGTTTTTAGATTCTTATCTTAAATTACACACATTTCTAATGCTTCATGACTAAATCAGTATTGGTGATTATATTGAAGCAAAAATAATAAAAACACAAGGTTTAAATCTGTCATTTGTCTGTTTCTAAGGTATTAATGAATTTATAACACTAAGAATTACATCCAATGTAATTTATTATCGATATACAAGTTAGTGTATTTGATTTTAATCCATCCTTTTCGTCAATGAATATTTATCAATCCCTAGTCAAAGTAGATGAGGTAGGATTTGGATATAAAATCTAAGAATTAAAAGTTCAATATCCTAACATTCAAGTCATCATTCTAAAGAATTATACTTTGTTAGTTCCAGTGTTAATTCACAACAATAATGTTAAGTTTATTAATAACTAGTGGAGACGAAGTTAATTTATCAGTAGTTACACCTTGTAGCCTAGTTGACAGAAAGAAGTTAATTAGTTAATCCCTAAGGCTAGACTAATCCTAAAAAAAAATTAATCAGTCTGCTTGACAAATTTATGTTAATACGAAAAACTGTATGGAAATCCGAGTCACGTGTCAATTCCCATTAATAGATTGATCAAACAGAAACATCCTCATTCAGATATTTATTAAAAAGGACTAATGGTATTACATTCTAACTGTACACTAATTATATATATGATAACCGAGTATTAGCATTATACTAATAAAAGTAATGATTTCCAAGAAAAACGTTGAAAGCATGTTGATCAGTTGTTGTTAGATTGGATATATGGTAAAAGAGTTAACAAGATATTTCGATCGAAAGTCAATTTTATGGTATTTGCGTTAGAACAAACAGTAGAATTTATGAACTATATAGAAATACAAACTGAAAAAAATTTAGATAGTTTTGAATGAGTGTGATGAATCAGTGTTCTGTTATAATCCACTTTTTTATGCTATATGTCGTCTGCCTAGATAAGGATTCTACAAACTTTCTTTAAGTACAAAGGTTAGGTTTCTAAATGTGAATTCTTATAGTTGTACAGTGTGTAAAAGACGTGCCGTTAGATCATGCCTTAAAATTTGATACAGTATGTTGGTTAACTCTGAAAGCTTTATTTCAGTTAACTTGGTGTCCCATGTCAAGTAAGTGACTGGAAATAGAGCTCTTAATTACCCTTAACTATTCTTTGCTTAACCAAGGCAGATGATGTTTAGTGTTACGATAAATCTCCATTTCCAATTCAACAATGAATAAGACGAACAATCTGATGGTGTAGCCATGAAGTCACCACTGGGTTTTTTTGGCAGAGATTTATCTTACAAAACTAAAGAATAATCAGTCAACAATTAACTGTCGTATTCAAAGTGATATCTTCATAGTATTGAAAGATAAAGATGAAAAAGTCATTTTATTTAACCTTGTGATTAACATTCATCCATCAATTACATTTAATTTTGATGAAAAAACATAGAATAACATCAGATCACTGGGTTCTGTCTGGCTTAATTGAGTAAAAGATTGTTAGGGGCGATTAAAAGTTTTATTTTCTATCATTTAACTGACAAAAGATGTCAAGCTGACTTGAATAAAACTTATCCATCATATTCCATGAAATAACTTGATCTCTTTTTGCTGATATATGGTGTAACAATTTGAACTAATTCACATATGTATCAGTAATTACATTGGTTACAACTGATAAGTAAATTAGTCAAAATCTACTTTTTATAATAACCAGTTAAGATACATCTTTTACTGTACTTGTTAGTCACGAAACTCATCTCACTAATTATATATTGATCATCTCTTAAATTCGATCTACAAAAGCTTATTTGTTATTTTATTTATTTGAACACATAGATATTGGTAAAAAAAGGCACCAAATACATATGCGCCACACAAATCTCATTCGATATGTGTGAGGGCTGTGATACTGCCCGGGTGCCGAACCGAACCAGGTGGTTTTCTTTGGGAGCCACCCCCGAGCCTTCGACCTGAAGGTTTGATCCACATGGCAGTTTAGCATCGTAAGGAGATGCCGTCCCATGGAAGCCAGTGACCAACGATTGATTCATACGCCATTTGTTCCTTCAGGATACTGGAGCCCATGTGCACCATTTGTTTGGATTCCGGGTAAAGCGCCGGACATTCGCTTTTCGTCCTCTCATTTTCCTAAACAACACCCCCGCCACGAGAAGGCAGTGAGTAGGACTTCTTTGGCAGAGGCTATATACGCGTGGCCATGAGAGAGCATTTGGAGAGGGAGAGCGGACTCTCCCCAGTCTCGGCCATACCAGGACATTTGGGGGCAAAAGCTTACAGTTTTTCGTATGATACTGGATACTTTATGGTTGAATATAACTTAACATCTTATAGAATGAAAATGAGTTAATCGACACTAATTACAATTTTCTTCTGATTTATTTAAAAATAAGATTGATGTATTTTAAATTATTCTATCACCATAATTATTTACTGAGTTTTTCATTTGTTTTAGCAAACTAATTCATTAAAACTATTTACTCAATCAGCATTCCCATGATTAAATGGAATAAATTGATGTTCAATTATAAAGTTTCCAATTTAATGAAAACTTTTGTTACAAATAATTCATCAATAATAATACCTGTTGGATTTGTTCGGTATTATTCAATTTCTTTTAGTATTAGAATGAATAGTACTACTATGAAAACTTATAATAGTAGTCGCTTAATTTATAGAAATTTATCATTTACTACTAATTTATGTCAACCATTATCACAATCATCATCATCATCGACATCAGTAAAACCGAAAGATCATCAAACCAATTTAAGTTTGGGAATTTTTCATCCGAAGAAGAAACGTGTAGATAAAGTGAGTGTAATATATATGTACATATATGTATACTTATTTTAATGGAATTATTATGAACTGACTAAAGAGAAAATTATTTATTTCAGTTATTTGAATGATTCACAGGATGTTTATTGTAACTCCATTAAAAATGACGACTAAATCGGATACAAAATTTAGCTTTGATCAGTAGTTCAAATGAAGACCAGGTTTTCTTTATCATGTCCTTGAAATCAATTAATTAAAATACATGATGTGCTTGTCTATGTTCTACATATAAGTAGGAAAATTTTCTTTAAAAGATAAACATTAATAATTCCCGACTGTTGTTGCCACATTGACGTGGTGGTCGGGCTTGCCTGTCGTGATGAAGCAACCGAGCTACACTGGCTGGAACAACCGTTCCTCAAGGTCCTACCATGTCAGACGGGTCGGTTGAAGAGCGGTAAAACTAAAAGCAACAAACCCAAGGTCCGAAGGCGAAGTTGTACTGCTGACTGTACAGAGGTGTGACGGCAGTAAGGTGTTTCCTTCAGACAACTAGCATGACAGCGATGCTGCCTTCCCACAAGGAAGGGTGGGGTTAAAAAAGGCCGACCCTAAAAATACACATCTCGCCTTATCCCACGGATATCCGTCTCCAGCCGTGAGGTCTCAACAAGTACGGAGCTAACACAAAAATTACTCATAAAAAGGTCGTGTGTGATCGACTTCAAGCAGTTGTCTCTTGGGCATCGCGGTCACGCTCTCAGGTCACTAGAACCACCTGTAACCCGATTTACTTTTCAGGCACCTCCGGAAAAACCGTTTCACGGTCTGGGAAATCTGGAAGTGATAACTGTTCTCATACCACTAACAGCGCTCAAGACCACTGTATTCATAATGACTGACTGACTGACATTAATAATTCGTCAATCTACTTAGCAAGTTTTTTTTGAATATGAGATTTAACCACGTTTTCATGGTGGAGTTTTATTTTTTGTTACCATGATGTATCGTAATTCTGTAAAGGGCTGTCAACTCTCAGGTTTTATTTTATAATTATTTGTAAAAATTCTTAACCTCGTAACACGAATTTCATTAAAATTACAGATCATTTAATGCATAGTTTGCAGTGTTCTCATCAAAACCATTTTGTTTCGATAACGATATTAAACAATAAAGACTTTGTTAATTCTTATTGTTCTCATCAAGGTCAATGTTGAACCCCATTAAAGAATGTCATATATTTATATAGTTCAGATCCTATGTTATCACACTATCTGTAGTAACGCCGCATTCTCCTACATTTCATTATCGACATGTATGATTAAAACCTAATTTTTATGAAAAAAAATGAACGAAGATGTATACCAGGTACTGGTGTACACAACCTAGTCTTCAACGATGCAAAACCAGGGTAATAAAAGAATAATTTATTGATTCCAAATCTGGAATAATAAGACATGACAGATTTATAAATCAAACAAAAGCTTATAAATACGAGTTTATAAAATCGTTGACTAATTATACAATAGAAATATAAGTAGTAACCCTTTGTATAATAGTCTTGAGAGTTATACCTCCGTACTATTCATCCCAGTATGTTAGTGTTCGAATGAGAAAGGGGAAAATGCCAACTGAATATAGAAATAGCGCAATCAATAATTAAATAGGATGTCGAATTATTTTTGGCAATAAGATGATTTCTGATGATGATGATTAAGTAAAAAACATTCAGCAGGTTTGTGTGCACATCAAACTTATGAAGAAAAGTTGAATACAGCACAAATTTTTACTTAGAACCAGTGATTCAGTGACAAGACACTAGCTACCAAAACTGATGGCTTTCTGACTAAATAACTGAAGGACTCGTCTGTATTAAAATTTCGACTAGTTAGTAACTACGATTGTGAATTAATTTTAAAAATTTCTTTTGTTTGTTATCAAATTCGCCAATTTCTATGGTACAGTAGATAAATTCTGTTGCTCAGTCTAAAAATGATCATCATACACTTGTGTACAAGATTTACTAGTGTTTTGATGTTAGTTTAGTTAATTAAATTACCACTTATGGATGAAATTCTATAGTCGCATCAAAATTTGATTTTTGCATCGTCTAAGTGTATTCATATTATATACTGTTTATCAAATGAATAATCATTGCATTGTCCAGGGTTATATTTTTCCAATCTTTAGTACTGATCTAGTTTTACCGATCAACTTCCAGTAATCTAAGTGGTTCAACATTGCGTTCACTATATTGTAATGTTCCTATAGCCTAGTAATAGCGTCCTGAAGAAGAGCACTAAGTGATACAGGTTCAGACCACATGATCATAAGTTTTTTTCCAAGCATCGCTGACGACTGACAGATAGCATAGAAGGGCTGGACAAACATGACACTAGTCCTTACTCACTGATTGATTAGTTGTAAACTTCTTAGTCTTACAATGGATCGGTGTCGACCCGAATGGTAACGTCCCAGACTGTGGGACCGTGTAATGCGGTTTTGAATCCACCAAGGAAAATCAGTTCCTTATAGGTTGCAAATATACCTTACTGACGAGTGCTGGCTAACATGAAACCTTGATCCAGAGTTTCCTGCTACCTCCAATCGTCTAATATACTGCTTATTGACACTATACTCTTATCTAATCGTTTCCTGTTATTTTGTTTGTTTTAAATTACCTTACCCTCTTGTATATACAGGAAATAGTTGACTTAAAGCAATCCGGATTTTACGATATCTCAGGTTATGGTTTTGCACAGTACACTAATTTGAAAATGCTCCACTCTTATCTTTCCAAATTTGATCATCTGTACAAATTCCCTACATTACCATCGGAATTATCATCAGAAGTATTGTTAGTCTCTCAATTATCTAAAATAGATACGGAAAATATTGATCCATGGGATGCATTTATTTTCAAGTAAGTGTGTTTGTGTACGTGTCTTTGTTTATGTGCAGCATCTACTCATGGGTATACTTACCGACCATTGGATAGCAATCGTTAATCTCACTATTGTCTGATTGATCTCTTTCATGTGTGATGTAAATCATCGGAGTTAGTTGGTATATCGTCTAATATTTAGGGCTTTTTTACATTGTAAGGGTCCTTACTGTTGATGTCTAAAACAAAAGACAAAAAGGACAGGCACTAGATTGAGTCACGGTTATTACTAAAAGATGACATTTCTGCTCAAATCATAGGTATGATTTGCTAACAGTTAAGTGCTAATATACAACAAATCCATAGTTATGTAGCCAAGTGTTGTATTTGAGTATGTTATGTTTATGTTGAATACTGTAAAATTGCAACGTGACCGAACTGAACGACTCAATTCGAGAAAATGATCGACAAACCTCATTCCTAATACCTCTGATTGTTCTTTGATCCTAGACACTAACAATTAAGAGTATAAAATAACTTCTAAAGTAATTCGTTGCTTTTATCGATGATAACATGGTTATAAGTGTATGTTCTGTTATTGATGTTCAAAACTGAATTTTGACTCGTCTTTGTTGGCATACATTCCTTCTATGCGGTTGGCCTCAATTTAACTATTTTACCTCAAGTTTTATTTTGAGGTGAATAGTTTGTGGCTAGCAGTGAAATTCAGAACGAACTTTTAGTTTTATTTAGAACTTCTTAGCCTGATGTGTATGTATCTCACTGTTGATGTTCACACTAGGACTCGAACCACTACCTTTTGATTCGGACGCTCAACCGTTATAAATTGAGCTACTGAGTCTATCGCAAGTTAAGAATATTAAATGGTCATTTCTAAATGTTTCAAATTCATTGGGGTAGCATAGGGCGCTTGTGGAACCCAAACTCTCTGAATTGATGATGTTCGGCTACTCTGTGTTCTATCACTATTGTTTTGAAAAGATTACTGGGAACCAATGTTAACACTATGTTAGTAATGTCGAGGTCCGGTAATATGTATTCGGGCGCAGTGATAATAATTTAATTAGTATCACCAGCTTGAAATATATACTTTGGTAGCTTAGTCGTAGTTCACGAATTTCATCGTAATGACTTCCTCATCATCACTATTTTTCGATGTTGACATGGTGCAGAGTTGAGAGGTGGTCAGCTTATGACATGATACTGTTGTGTGAAAGATAGTTATGTACGACTATGATTGGCTAACTCATCACGACCCCACTGTTGGAGTTCATGAGATGGTGAGATTCAGTGACCTGAGACACTATCAAATATAGCTAACGGCGATTCTACTATAATTCTCTATAGCTCTTCATGATAATCAAATAAGGTTAGTTCACTGATTTTTTTCTTAGCTATATTTTCAATCGAACTGTAAATTATTTTTTTTTATTCATTGATTGTACCATCATGATATTAGAAGATATTCGCATTAATATACTAGCCTGAAACTCCCAGAAGTTTCTGATTCAAGTCAGATAGAACTCGATGAGCACAACTGAATTTACTGTATTTAGAAGTCGTAATAAGCGCGAAACAATCTACAAAGGAATCGTTGCTACATACCAACATCATAACTATTATTCTCCTACATTTCTTCACATTATTATTTCATTAGTGAGGTGTATATGTTTTTGCATTTCTTATTGAACCAATTTTGTGTGACTAGGAATTTCAGGCTGTTTACATTTAAATAATTCATAGCTGCATTTATGATTCATCACAGCTAGTTATAACAGCGTTCAATCACCATAATTGAAATTTGATATGATAGTATTTGAACAGTAGTATTGAGGGGAATGTAACCTACAATGATAGTAGTTTGTTTCTCTAAAAAATAATGATATAACTACTGTGATTGAGTTTTGAACAAAAATTGATTCAACAATAGTTACCACGTATTTTCTTTTTTATTTCGATTAGAAGATTTTTCCTAGCCTCAATGTCAAGTTAATGTAACACAGTTTATCATGCGCATTTTCAACTGTATTTTTCTTCTTTCAGTTTAACAAAAAATGTATTCAGCTGTTATATCTTCCTTTTTCTTTATACTTTCAGTAATGGAGTAGCTGTGTTTTGGAATATGCCTGAGGAAAATGTAAGTTCATCGGCGTTTTTTTCTCGTCGTACATTTCCTTTCAAGATTTCTTTTCCTTTTTTTCAAAAGACTCATTCACTGTTTGCTGCACATTTTCTTTCTGTTTATCTAAAATTCATAATCGAAAGAATTAACAATTAAATATTGACACTTAATTGTCGAATATTCATTCAACGTTGAATTAATGGTTAATAGTTTTGTTTATGGAATATTTCTAGTGAGATAATCATTAAAAGAATCATATAGCATTGTTTGATATTATTTCTATCTTAGTATACAACTTTTCAACAGTATTCCCAGGTGACCTCAACAAGAATCGAACCCAAAATTTTCATTGAAACCACGCTATCTTTAGACCAGTGAATTCTAATATTAATATTAGAAAAAAAAATCATTTTAGGCTATTGAATAGAGCATGTCTAAGAGTAAAACAATTGTTAAGAAAGGAATTAAATGGGAAATTGTTGTTTAATTTTTGTACTAGTATTTTTTAATAGAGAGCAGTAAGTTAATTGAAGTTACTAACATTTCATCCATTTAAATTAATTTCAAATAAGCCCATATTTTATCAGAAGGGGTTTTGTGGAGTAATTTCAATAGTTCAAATTATGAGTCAATCGAGGCTAGACCACCATGGAAATCTTGGAAGCACTGGACGGCCGTTTCGTCCTAATGTGGGACTGCTCAGCAGTGAGCATCCACGATCCCGCCCCCCGCGAGATTCGAACCCAGGACCTATCAGTCTTGCGCGCGAGCGCCTGACCATTAGACCACTGAGTCAGCATCCAACGGTGTTACTGTCTAACTTCAGCCAATCCATGAAATCACTCCACCGTGCACCATTGTCTTCAGTGATGCACACTGCTGAGGAGTCCCATACGGGGACGAAACGGTCGTCCAGTACTTCCAGGTTTTTATGGTGGTCTAGCTTTAACCGACTCATGGTTTCAACTATTAAAAGACCATATTTTTCATAATTTTATAGTGTACACTTCAAATGATAATTCTGTTGTTAATCCGATCACTGATTAAATAATTCACATTAGTCACTGAATACTAGTAATATCAAGTAATTATCCAATTAGTTCTTTGTTTTTATTGAATACTCGTATGGTGATATCACCTCGAAATAAAAATTATATTCACACTTGTTGATGACCTATAGTCAATTAGTTTGAGATATATCCTTATTGAACAGCTTGAAAATACTTATCTGTATTTATTTATAGAAAATCTGAATTTCGTTCCTGACTTGGAGTTTTTTAATACTATAAGTGGTATAATTGTAGATATAGCAACACATTAGTTACAGTTCACACGCTTCAACAATGTCCGAAGTTATATGTTGATTACATTTGGCTAGAATTAAATTTGATGACTTGTATTTCAATCAGTTGTTTGAAGCTGATCAGCCGAACATATCTGATTGTAGATGATTCTTGCTACAAGAGTTGTATCATAGTTTCTACAATAAGATTAAATCAAGATAATATCATAGGCAACATTAAGTCATTTTTACAAGGAATTTGTACGTATTAAGAGTTTCAACAAATATCAATTATGACAAATCCTAAATTTTAATAACAGTTGTTAATTGTTAAACCAATAGTGGCGAAAATAATTTAATAACGGTAAATTTAACTCATTGATGTTGTAACCAATGAATATTAGGTCGAAGATTCGCCTGAAGCAATTATACTCACTAGGATCCATGTACATTCGTCTAACCGATCACTGTATATAATATTATATATATTTAAATAGTAGAAACTGATAATTTCCGTAGATATCCTGTTTGGTTTATGCCAGATTATGTTATATGGATTGTATATGGAGAGTTACTCTTAGTGTTTCCGGTAAAAGGGCCGAACAGAAACCCGCAAGTGAACGCTTAACCTTTAGACCACTAAACCGGCATCCAACAGTTTTAATGTCTAACTTTAATCGATCCACGATCTTGCTCACCCCTTCATCCATTGTCTGAGGTGAATAACTGTCTCATATCATTAAATTATTTGTTTATAAATAGTATTTCTTTAAATATATGGTGTTTCGTGAATATAAAATCCATTTTAGAATTCATTTTGTAGAGTTAAATAGTTGTGTTTAACGCTTACATGTTTATTGTACTATATTCTTTGACAATACAAACCTATACCGGTCATTACCATTGATTTGCATTTTTATGACAATACAATTGTGATACAGTATTCAAAGATTAATTCTAACAGCTGAAGAATGAATGACCTACAGATTAATTTCCTTCTATTACTTATAACATTTTATCATGTTTATTTTGTATATAAACATGTTCTTTTTATTACATGAAGAACTATTCATCTGGCTAGTTATCTTGTTTTTGATTTTTAATCATTCTGGGGGCCTAAATGAATTATACAGTCTTGTGTGTAACCATCACTTGGCCACACATCATATCATTGAGTTCATCTATCGATTAACATTCTATTCATTGATTTTAACAGTGATAATGTCGTCTAATCAAAACACAAAAGTCCTCCTCTAACAGATTCGTAATTAAGAAAATAAATAACTCTTCTCTGTCATATGTTAAGTAATTGCAAGCTAATTGGCAGGATGTTCCAATAATTACTAAGTATGTACAAACCGTACATTGATCAGTTTTCTAACAATTTTCTCCAATTATCATATGTCATGCAAAGTATATTATAACGTTGTATTTTGTAACTAATTGAATGACTTTATCTATAAGATACCAATAACCCTATAAATCAAACAATATTTAATAACCTCAAATTTACCAATCGAACATTCTTTCACTCAATATATACATAGTTTAAAGTATAATCTCATGCCATAATTAAGGTAACCTTGAAAATAATATATTTGTAATATCCCAATGAGTAGAAAATTGGATTTTCTGGCGTTTCGTGACTTAGTGTAAGTCACTTCTTCAGAGAATAAATGACCAAATTAAACTTGGATTAATTTTAATTTGGTCATTTATTCTCTGAAGAAGTGACTTACACTAAGTCACGAAACATCAGAAAATCCAATTTTCTACTCATTGGGATATTACAAATATATTATTTTTATTTATAACAATGAACCCAATGCTCAATTTATTCGAAATTATCAAATAAAACCTTGGTAATGACACCTATAAGGTAACCTTGGTAATATTTGTCTAAATTTCATGCTTAATACTGTCATAGATTTTGTTACTATTTAACTGAAGAATATATATCGGTATCTTATATATATATATTCATACTTTACTAAATATCTAGCATCAATCATTATTAAAAGAGTTTCGTCAGTTCAGTGAAGGAATTTTAGAAGAGAATCTAATTGAACGTGAAGATTTAAGATATTGTTTAACCAAGTAAGTATATTGTTATTTTTTTTCTTTTAACTCACTTTCCATTTGATATGTACTTAAATTAACTGTTCATCTTTGATTGGTAATTTTAACAATTAAATAATGTGACTGACTTCAAGTGGCATATCCTGGAATTCTAGTGAGAAGCCTTTGACCAATGAAGTTCAACCAGGTCTGTTGCGAGATATCAGTTCACTGAAAACAATGGTGAACAGTGGAGAGATTTCGTGGATTGGTTGAAGTTAGACAGTAACACCGTTGGATGCTGGCTCAGTGGTCTGATGGTTAAGCGCTCGCGCAAGACTGACATGTCTTGGGTTCGAATCTCGCGGGGGCAGGATCGTGGGTGCTCACTGCTGAGTCCCACAGTAGGATGAAACGGCCGTCCAGTGCTTCCAAGATTTCCATGGTGGTCTAGCCTCGATTGACTCATAATTTCAACTATTGAGGTTACTAAAATCTCCACAAAACCCCTTCTGAAAATATATTCAGTCAATTTGTAAAGGTTTGTGATTTTCTTGTCAATGTTGAAGATTGTAATTGATCAATTTCTGTTGTCGTTTGTACATCATGAACAGATCGGGTTGATATTTTTATTTAATCATGAATTCTTATTAATGTTGGATAGTGACTAGCGGTGGAATCCAAAACTCTCTTGTCATTTTATTTGATGATCGGTTATATGGATATACCTTCATCCCACTGCTGACTTTCACACTGAGACTCCTAATCCAATCCCTTTCGTTTTAAAAACTTATGACGAAATAGAATTATAGAGTTAATCCTTTACAGATGCACATATATCAAAAATGACTGATCAATTGGAGACCTTAACATCAACAACGATAGAAACATTTTTAGACAATAGGTATCATTACTAAGGTTTAACTTGATAATTTTAAATAAATCGAGCTTTGGGCAAATTGTTATTAATAAAACTAATCTATTTGTAATATCCTAATGAATAGAAAAATTAAATTAACCCAACTTTAAATAGTACAAAGGAACACTGAAAAAATAGTTGAATATGATCAATGAAAAATAAAACAGATCAATGTTACGTCACTCTAATCAAGTTGATTTATGTGTATACACTGTCTGTCTTCCCTTAAACTAAGAGATTAAAATCGCTTCATATCTTTCCTTCTACGAACTAATTCTTTCTTCCTGTACTATATCCTTATCGCAATCTTTCTTTTATATATTATCACCTCTGAATTAACTAATTCTATGAATCCGGTGTCCATCTTGTTGTGTTAATGAGGTATAGCAACTTGGACCGATACATGTATGTGTCTGGTCCTACGTTGTAGCTGACTGACTGATTTATGTGACATTTGTAATATAAAAGGATAAAGTTAAATTTGTATGTATGATAATAGTGTGTGATATCTGAATAAAATTAGACATGGTAATCCAAGTTTGATGGATGGTAGGGCTTTTTTTTCTATTGGGGGCAGTTGGATTTAGCAATATATGAAAAGCTTCTGCTACTTGCCTTTCTTTATAGTTGGGAAAGCTTTTTTGTATTTTGATATTTTTAACATCGACTTGATAGTTATTGAAAATGGTATGAACTGCTGTTGCCGATTTGATTTGGAGTCTTTCCAGTTCTACAGAATTATTAGGCGGTTTCTTTGTGTACCTTAGATGCTTTCTGGATCGAGTCAAGATTTCACAAGATGACTCTTCAATATATTGAAGGGATCAAAATCGATACATCGCAATTCTGTGTTGACATAAGAAGTATCTTATCCTTTATGTGAATTAAAGCATTCCGGATAGTGTTGTTTGTTTTGTAGTGTGATTTAATTCTGTGTTGTTTTAAGACTCTTTGGAGTTCTTCTGTTGTGTTATGGCGGTATGGTGAAACTACAGTACCAATTCATGGTATTTCATTCGAATTATTATTTAGCAGTAAATCATATCGTTTTACTGCATTTTTAATAATCTTCATGGGAAAATTATTAAATTGTAAGATGTTTAAACAATATTTAAAATGTCTCTTTTAACGATGTGCAATTGTATATCGTATTCATTAAATAACTGATGATTGGCTTAATGGCTTAACTGGCTTAATACTTTGAGCATTATAAATATCTTATTGCATATCATCATTTTTATACTTCACAAACTAACCTTTAGACAGATTTGACTTATTCTTGTTAACGGTGTACATAAATGAATTATCTGTGAATAAATCATAATGGTTGATTCTCTTGGATGAACGAAAGGATTGACCTCTATGAACGACTGACTTATCTAACTCTGGTGAAGGTAACGTGATATATGAATACTGAGTTTGTTATATATTCCAGCTTGTTCTCGAAACCGTCCCTTCAATAAGCTCTCTCCTGCTTCGGTTTGGGCACCCGGGCAGTATCACAGCCCTCGCACAAATCAAATGAGATTTGTTTAGCGCATATGTATTTGGTGCCTCCTTGTACCAATATCTATGTGTTCAAATAAATAAGTAAATAAATAAATAAATAAATAAGCTCTCTACAGAGCCAATAAACAAACTATATGAGGTATAAGGGCTGTATGAAATGTAAGATGTATATGTAGGTGGTTGACATTGAACTACATGAACTATTCAGCTAAAAAAATGTTACTATCTACTTATCTGTTATGTGATCAGTTTGTTTAGTTATAAATACACATTAGCTTTAAGCATATTTATTCGATGGTTGGTAACATGAATTCCCACTCAATCACTAATTTTTCTATCTACTTGAGCTTGTCGAGGGTCGAAAGCTCGTTCTAATAACTCAACTAGATAATAGATTGTATTGATTCTATAGTCGAATTAGTTTATTTAAATTAAGTATTCATTTGACCAATATCATTCGTTTTTTTTATCATAGTGATCATACCCGTGTTGTCGGTGAAGACATTTACTTACATATTCCATCATTCGAAGATGTGTCACGTCACACAGAACAACAATCGCAAAAAGTGAGGTATAAAAAATGTTGTTTGTATGGTATTAATTTTTAATTTATTAGGATCTAACATTACAAGAACAATATCCAAAGATAGCATCAACTTCTTTGACTGACGATAATTCACTGTTGGAAAAATTTGCATTTTCTGATGCTTTAGCCTTGTCAGGTAGGCCTTTTCTCATTTTTTAGATTTTATTTTAAAAAATATCTCCTTCATTTGAGATAATGAGCTGATCAATGTTAGACCAAAGTTGGAAACCTAAAAGCACTGGACGGCCATTTCGTTTTAGTATGGAAATACTCAGCAGTGCTCACCTACGATCTCATAATCGGGGCTCAGACGTAGGACCTTTTGGTCTCGCGCGTGAAATATTAACCTCCAGACCACTGAGCTGGCATCCAATGATGTTAATATCTAATTTCAACCAATCCTCAATATTGTGTGGCCATCTTCGATTGTGTTCTGTAGATAACTGCCTCACACCTGACATTAATCGGTTTATGATCTCAACAGTTCCTCTTATTATTTATTGGTATTGCATGGATAAAACTCAGTGTTGTTATTTTTGATCAATCTATGGTTTCATAAAAGAAATTATTTTATCCTATAATTTACTGAGGTTGTATGCATTACTGGCTGCACTGTTAAACGTTATGTGTTGAAATCTTAGTGTTCTAAGTTGAATAAATATCACACAAATGACATTGAATGTTAATTGCATTATATCAGGGATTTACTGAAATTTAAAATGTTATAGATTATTAAGTTTTTCACTTAAAATAAGTTGAAATTCATTATCCATAAATCGTCAACAATTGAAGTTACCTGATTGAGGTTCATACAATTATCATAACTAATTAGTTGGAGACATTCATTGATATTGTCTAGAATGAATAATAATGAAACAGATTCATTCACTTTTTGTCCTCCATTAGATCTTGAGTTTTTAAATTATCTTATGCTGTTTTCAATTCCTCAAATTTGTACTTTCTTCACTAATCATCAAATGAATATGACACATTTCAACTTGATTCATATTGTCTTTGACTATTATTTTCCACTATCACTGGTACTTTTGTTATTCTTCTACTATTCTGATATTTATCTTGACATTATGAGTTTCTAATTTGCTATTCTTTTTGTAATTTAAATCAAGAATCAATGATTTGATGACAGATTTCTCTTTTTTCATCTCAATGTTATTACATACTACTTTTTGTTGTTTTATAGCCACCTTATAATCTCACATATATACTATACATTGAAATTTGCTCATTACATAATAATGGCACTATCTACCTTCTCAGATCTCAGTAAATATGATGACACATATTTAAAGCTGTAATCTATTGATTATAAACTATAGTGTTTAGATTCAATTCACTTACTTATTTACTTAAGCCTGTTACCCCTCGTGGAGGAGAATAGGCTTCCACCAGCATTCTCCATCAAACTCTATCCTGGGCAATTCTTTCCTGTTGTTATTCATCCTTTTGATATCTGCTTCCAATTCTCGACGAAGTATATTCTTGGATTTTCCTCTTTTCCATTTCCCTTCAGGACTCCAAGTTAGGGCTTGCCTCGTAAGATAGTTTGATGATTTCTTCAATGTATATCCTATCCACTTCCATCGTTTTTTCCTAATTCCCTCTTCAGCTGGAAGCTGGTTTGTCCTCTCCCACAATAGGCTGTTGCTGATGATATCCGATCAAAGGACATCCAGTGTCTTGTGTAGACTATTGTTTATAAATACTTGTAGTTTTTTGATGATGGTTGTAGTAGTTCTCCAAGTTTCACTTCAGTACAAAAAGACTGTCCTGATATTCCTATTCAAGATTCTCACTTTGATATTGGATGACAATTGTTTTGAGTTCCATATGTTCTTCAACCAATAGTTTAAATATCCAAGTAGAGATTATATTTTTATATGAGTTATAACTACCGTGTTGATCTTCATTGTTTTTTTATATAGAGAAGTAAGTCACTGGTTCATTCATAATAGACAATGATTCATAGTGTATTTTTAAAAATTGTATTTGATTGTAGAATAGGGATTTACTTCTCTGAACATTTAATTAATTTTTATGGTTTTCACATTTTTTTAAACTGTACATCATAATGTGTTTAGTGAAACTCTCTCTATTAGAAAATGGATTCGATACAGCAGTTGTTGAAATTGAACCATGGATCGAAGTAAGTGACTAGTTGATTGCTAATACTTCCTTCTTTCTTTTAATGCTTCTTATTTTGATTTACTCAGCTATCTTTCTTCTCGATTCGAACTCTTGATTGTTTTATTAATTTGCATTCAGTTTATCAGTGAAAATAACTAGGTATTCAGTTTGTAGATTGAATTCACTATTAGATCGACCTTAGTTGAGATATCAATGATAACCAAGGATATAAATTCCTAGCTATTTCGTTTTTATTTGGAAAGGTCTATGTGTAGTGTGCACTCACAACATTTTCAGGGAGTGAACACAATGTGTCTAAGTTTCGTGATGAACGCCTAACTGTTAAACCATTCAATTGTTCATCTTTCTAGCTTCAACCAACTCGGGATTATTTAATGACTTTGGTAACAACTGTTTTTGTTTCCGACTTATTTGGACTCTGTCAGTTACAACTTTATATTCAAATTACAAAAAAATCGTCTCGAAGTAAATCGTTAATCAAAATACTATTGTAGTTTTGTTAAACGGAATTTTTTATGGAGATTATCACTTATATATTAAAATAATATTCAAAAAACTTTCAACAAAATTATGGGTATCAGAAGGGGTTTCTTTGTGGATATTATAGTAATTTTAATAGTTGAAATCATGAGTCAATCGAAGCTAGACCACAATGGAAAACCTGGAAGTATTGGACGACTATTTCGTCCTGTTGTGGGACAACTCCTCAGCAGTACATACCCACGATCCCGCCTCACGAGATTCGAACCCAGGATCTATCGATCTCACGCACGAACGCTTAACTTCCAGACCACTGAGCCGTCCAGTGCCTCCAGGTTTTCCATGGTGTTCTAGCTTCAATTGACTTATGATCATAACTATTAAAAAAACGATAGGTATTTAACGCTTGTAAAGTTGTTTAATTAAATAACTATAATCACATGTGACTAGATTGAACTGTATAAATTTGGTAGTAACGACCTAATTTGGTCCAAAAAAAAGAAATTTTAAATGAAGTAATAGAAACTTATGAAACATTCAACCATGACATTTACAGAATAATGTAGAGAATCAATTTATAGTTATGTCAATCCAATCGATTTTGTATCATTCAATGAGTATTATGTAGGTAGGTAGGTAGGTATCAATTTGGTAGTTTATATTTATCAGTGAATATCGACCAAACCAATGAATCCAATCATTTCACTGAAATTAATGTTATATATTTGTTTAGTAACCGTTAATACTGAACGTAACTTGATCATTATATTGTTTGTTTGTTTTAAAAAAAGATCAAAATATGATTATATTTGTAAATATTTTTGATTAATGTAAAAGTGAATTTTGTTGTGATGGATGGTGTCCAAAATCTGATACTGATACACGTGTTGCTATGCACTAACCTCCAACTGACTACTTGAGCGGGAACACAAGAGTAAGCGAAAAAGTGCATTGGAATACCGAATAAAATACACAAATATCCATATATATAAACAACCACACAATTCTTAAGAAATTCACCCATTTCTCAGCCAATAAAATGCATTTGTCCTTTAGATCACTTCTGATTACCATCAGATTGACCTTCTCAATGAGTTACTTTTGACTGGCTCTCCATATCAAATTTCTATTGGTGTTTTGTAATCGCATGTAACCATTCAGTTAGTTAACACTTGACATTCTATCTTCCCTATTAATGCGAACATGTAAAAGTTGTTTTATTCTCTGAAAATGCAAATTACATAGAATTAAGAAATGATAGAAAACAATTTATCTTTCTATTCAGTTGAAATATTAGAAATAATTTATTATCGAAAATATTTTTTGACTTTTTTTTTTAAAATGATGACCATATTTTTGAGTTGTCAAGACAAATAAATCAACTGACAACTAATCCAGGATATATAATAATGACTAAATGTTGTCGATTTATTGTTGCTTATATGATCGATCCAAATGAAATGAGTATCGAAAGATAACTTAATTAATCAATGTTATATGTCTTTAAGAATTCTTTGATAATGTCTTTAGAAACTGAGAAAAAAGCAAAATGTTTCTGTCTATTCATCATTTAATGGAAGCTCTTAAGAAATTTCTAGAAAACTGATAGATTTTGTGTCATAATCTTGTTAAATAATCACCCATTTCGTTACTAAATGTAATATATTTTTGGAATCCTTCAGAATCTCAAGGCCGCACGTAGGCCTATGAATATCCTTGTTTTCTGTAATTAACTTAACCTTGGATGAAAAGCTCCGTTTTGTACTTCCATTCGAATCACAAATGTAGGAAAGTTCTGCATCCAAGTACTGGACGTATCAATCAGTAGAATAATGTTTAAACACAAGAATAAACATGATTTCAAGTCATTATGAAAGATAATTTATTAGAAGCTACGGGTTTCGTAGATCATTCAAAGACTATTACGAATAAGACTTAATTTTCAGTTATTACTCTCTCCATTTCGGGATCATTATTTGCTGTAGAAAATTTGTCCAGGGATTAGTTATGCACAGTAACTTGACAATTATTAGTTTAAATCATTAAAGCGGTAATTATGACTTTTTGTGTTTATCGTCTTTTTTGTAGAAGATGAAAACAGGTCGTGGTGCTAGATTCCGTCAATCTGCAGTTTTACGAAAAACTGGTGAATTGTACACAATTAAGTAGGTTGAGTCATTCTCTCCCTTGCTTCTTATGGTTTGAGGCATCAATGCGGTAGTTGTATTATATGATATCCTCTAGAGGTTTACTATTCAACTGTGAGAGTTTTTTAAATCATCAACCTAGGATGCTTTATCAACATCACTTTCAATGGAACGAACACATAAATATCCTGCGTATATGTACCACCTGTATCCCATAAATGAATATTGGTTTTCCAACTAAGCTTCAAAAATTATATTCATAATGTCCAGTCAAATACCAAGTTATAGCAAAGATATTTTCTCAATAAGTACCAGTTATTATTTTTAAAAAATAATTTAACTCATATTACCATATTCATGTTAGATATTTAAAGAATCAGTACTTTGTGACAAGAATGTAGAATATCTTAACTGAACAAATAAGTGTTGGAAACTCTAGCGTCTTAAATAATCAGTCCTGATGGACTAGTTTGTTACGAAATCTTGGCATCTATTCAGAAAGCTTAGTTAGTTTTTATCAACTTCCATCATTTATGAGATAGACGATGTCCGTCTTCCAACTAATGAACTTGTACATTTTCCTGAACCTCTCGCTGTTCTAATTAATGTCCGTGAAAATTGGTCATTAAGAATAAAGGAAATTCGTAGGTTACTAGTATTCGATCATAGGTATCTTTGGAGCATTATTCGTGTATTTCGTGATCACTAGATGACCAATGTTTAGGTTACGGATAGGATACCAAGCAAAGGTGGTAAATTGGTTGACGGGGTTGTGAATCCTCATAGATCTAAGTCAGTCAGTAACAAAGTAGAACTTCGTACGTACGTACATCAGTTCGAGTTGCCATAACACATTAGCTCAGAGATGCAGTGGTCGATTCAAATCCCATAGTGGTAGAGGTAATAAGAGTAAGCAGTTATCGGGAAGCTTAGTGTTTGGAGATGTTACTTAAAGGGTATAATACAGTGAAATAAATTTGGGAAGAGAAAAAAAGAGATCAAAATTTGGGAGAACACAAGGAGTGTATGCACCTGCGCCATTGCAAACGATTTTGAGCCATGTCATTCAGGTTCTCTAACCATCGGTTGCTATCGTCTCACAGATCCCAACCAGGTTGTCTACACCTACCAACATAACTCAGTCCACTTGTCAGTGATTTCATGGACTTGTGCCATGTTTTAGTCTAGCCGCACCTAGCTTTCTTTCAACCTACTCCTATATCATTGAACATCGTACATCGAGGCAGTCGGTCGTTGGGCATACGTAACACATGTCCCAGCCATCTCAAATGATGAAGTTTCACTACTTCATCCTTATCTAGTACCCGTTTCCTAACAACTGCATTACTTACTCGATGGTTCCAGCATATACGAGCAATATTCCGAAGACACCTATGATCAAATACTAGTAACCCAAGAATATCCTCTACTCTTACTGGCCATGTTTCACTGCCATAAAGTAGGACGGAACGAACTGCTGCGCAGTAAACCCATTCTTTGGTTGATAGACGGATATCTCGCCTACACCATAAATGACGCAAGTTGGCAAAATCTAGTCAAGCCTTCTGTATCCGTGCTGATATTTCGTCACACACCAGACCACAAGGGCTGATGAGAATTCCAAGATAAGTGAAGCGGTCGACACGCCCAATTACTTCACTACCTATCATTAGTTCAGGTGTCAATGCAACTCAATCCTGAAGTAACATTTTGTATTTCGAGGGGGAGAATTGTATCCCGAACATGCTAGCACTGTCGCTTAAAGTGGTCAGAAGACTCTGCATTTTGTCAGCGTCTTCACCAAATAAAACGATGTCATCAGCATATTCTAAGTCAACAAGTGAACGTCCCGGTAGAAGTTCGACCCCTGGAAATCTCGACGAGGAAAGTGTTATCTCTAAAAGCACATCAACGACAAAGTTGGACAAGAATGGAGAGAGTGGACAGGCCTGACGAACACCACTTGAGGTATTCAATTCTGATGACAGTTCGCCATAAGTTCTCACTCTACCAGTTGTGTTCGAGTAGACAGCCTGTATAAGGTTAATGTACTTCTTTGGTACTCCTTTCAGTGACAAACACTGCCATAGAACCTTACGATCAACAGAGTCGAATTCCGCCTTGAGGTCGAGAAATACTACCATTGTGGGGCGTCAAAGTATTATTGAAGCTAATATTTTAGACACTATATTAATCAAACTGATTCCTCTGATTGTCACAAGAGGACTTTTGTCCTTTCTTATAGACTGGCACAATCAGTGATTGAGACCAGTCAAATGGGATTACGTCCAGTTCCCAAATTCTACCTAAGACCTCAGTTAATCTCACTGCTAATACTGAACCACCATCCTTAAAAATTTCAGGAGTAAACCTGTCAGGGCCTGCTGCTCTCCCTCGCTTCAGATTTCCTATGGCTTTTTTAACTTCGTAAACAGACGGAAGACCTACATTAACTTGCCATTCAGGTTGACTGAAGATCGTGGGAAACCGAAGTGTGACTGAAGGCCGTTTGAACTGATCCCTAAAGTGTTCTCCCCATCGATCCAATCTCCTGGATTGAGAGTGTATAATATGTCCATCTTTCTCTAAGAGTGTTTCGCTAACAGTCGGTTTTTTTAACAAGTCTGAACAATTGTGTGTTATTACCTATTACCGCCGCCTTTTCCATCTCTCTTGCTTTCGCTACCCACCACTGTTCACAATCATTGCGTTGACTTCTTGTCAGCTTGCGCTTAAACTGACTCCGCTTTTCATTATGTTCAGAGCCAGGTGGAATGAGTTTCCGAGCATCTATCAGTGCGATAGATGCTGCTGAGATCCAGTGTTCTAATGACTATCCTTCAAAAGAACGGCTACCCACATAACGTTCTTAATAAATATCAACCCGACTCATCAGTAACAACGAAATAAGACATAGAAACCAACAAATGGATCATCTTACTATATATAAAAGACGTATCAGAAATTACAACGAGGTTATTAGGGTCATTTTATTATTTATATTCTATCAGATAGTTGTTGGGAATACACAGAAAATTCCTCGAAAAAAACCCAAAGGGTCCCTGAATACACTGGGAAACATCGTATCCAACCAGTATTCAACAGAAGTTTACCAGAAACATCTAGAAAGTGAAAATTCACGTCACATCTCTGATTAGACAAAATACTTATCCTGCTACTATGTTTACAAGGGTTTCAGAAATTTCCAGAAGTCCAAGGTTATCTGAAATGTTATAACTAACCTAGATTTTCTGTACATAAACTAACCTTGGAGTAAAGCGTCCTGTCTATATTTCGCACCCTTTTCTCCTATGTTCAAGTTGTCGGGTAGATTTAATCTGAGGTTATACTAGAAGCGCTTAAAAAAAATCCGATTCAAGCGTTTAATTCAAAGATTTATCATCTTTTAAGTCCAACCCGACCGTTGTTGCTACCTTGAGGTGGTGGTCGGGCTTGCCTATCGTGATGAAGCAACCGAGGTATACTGGCTGAAACAACCGTTCCTTAAGGTCCTACCATGTCAGAGAGGTCGGTTGAAGAGCGGTAAGACTAAAAGCAACAAACCCAAGGTTCGAAAGCGAAGTCGTACTGCTGACTGTACAGAGGTGTGACGGCAGTAAGGTGTTTCCTTCAGACAACTAGCACGACAGCGATGCTGCCTTCCCACCAGAAGGGGTGGGGTTAGAAAAGGTCGACCCTAAAAATGCACACCTTGCCTTATCCCACGGATATCCGTCTCCGGCGGTAAGGTCTCAACAAGTACGGAGCTAATACAAAAATTACCCATAAAAAGGTCGTGTGTGACCGACCTCAAGCAGTTGTCGCTTGGGCACTGCGGTTACGCTCTCAGGTCACTAGAACCACCTTTAATCCAATTTCCCTTTCAGGTACCTCCAGAACAACCCTTCCACGGTCTGGGCAACCGGGAAGTGATAACCGCCCTCATACCTCTAACAGCACTCAAGACCACTGTATTCATAATCAACCTCCCTCTTTTAAGTCCAATGATCTGTTAAATATCTTTCTTTTTATTTTCTCTTAAATTATAGACATTTATTAAATGTTAGTACTAGTTTAATTGAAACCCCTGATTTCTATTGGGAAAGACCAAATGTTGAGAAATTATTTGAAAAATTAAAATGTGTCCTAAGTGTTTCATCTAGAGTAAAGGTATGTTTAATTAATATATATTTATATGTGTTTATAATTTATGGACGACCTTTGAGTGATGCTACAATGACTTTGAGAATTTCCATCTATTAACTAAAGCTAAATAAAGATTATAAGCCAGTGTGAGGAATTAAGATTATGATTTTTAGTTGATAGTTATAGTTAGGAACTAGATTTAGAATTTTTCATCACAAACTGAGATTACGTAAAATGCCAAAACTCTATTTAACTAAATGGATGAATAGATTTCGCGCCGAAACCCAAGACGTGTTACCCTAAATCTAATTGATTCGTCTATAAATTATAGTCTCATCAAGTGATTAGAGTAAAATTTAAAGTTATTTTGATACTTCAGATATAACAATGTCAAGTGTAATTTTTTCATAGATATTTGAATTATGCTAAATCTATAATAATTTCAGTTAACATAGTGGAAAGTTGAATGTTTGTATATGGGGATAATTTATCATTCATGTAAGAATTTGATTTGATTATAAAGTTAGCTGATAGTTATTAATAATGGATACAAATTGTATGTCTAACGTTTCTTACAAAAATAACATTTTTTGCATTGTAATTTAATTTTTACTACATGTGGATTGTCTCAATATTGCCATTTAGGCATAAGCATTACTAGCGGAGATGAATAGCGACTAGCAGTAGAATTCAGAACTCGTGTTTCATCCTAATTATCGAATATCTGGATCCAGTAGCTATGTAGATAACATGATGCTGGTCGAAGTAAACATCAACTCTAGAATACAGATAAATCGAGCTAACGAATCTTATATAGGATGAAACTCACGTTCTGGATTCCACTGCTAAAATCTAGTCGTTAAGAATATATAACCAACTTAATCAATCTTGATGATTGTGTAAAAAAAACAAAAGATATTTTGATAATTTTTTATTGTATAATTTATTGATTTACATTTACTTCTGTCTAATCAACTTAAACATGTCATAATCTCAAATTCATTCAACAGTATAGTTTAACTTTACTGTTCATGTTTCAATGAATAATATCAGTTATTGTTTGGTTTTTGTTCAATTTCAAATATCCTACAACTTTATTAGAATTTCACTTAAAATGCTTCTTATGTTGTAATGTATCTCTTTAAACAAATATATATATGTATATATATATGTATACTCAATTTAGGTTTTAAATTCACGTTTGGATATGTGTAATGAATTAACATCAATTCTAACCAATCATTTATCATCTATACATTCAGTACGTTTGGAATGGATGGTAATTATTTTAATTTTTGTTGAAGTTATCTTTGAAGCAGTAAATTATTATGATAAAACTGGAAAACATTAATAATTGATTATATTATTGTACATGTATTATTCTTTAAGATTTAATATAATCAAATAAAAATTGATCTTTTAATGATTAAATAATTTTGTTTTTTTCTATTTTCTTCTGGTTGAAGAATGCTGGTCGGCGGCCTATACTCCATTGGGAGTAACAGGCTTAATTCATTATTCAATTCATTTTCTTCTGGTAGCTGATAGAATTTAAAATAAATAGTCCCTTTGTATTATTTGGCTTGTATCTTCCCATTGATGTTTTTCGGACTGAAATTGATCAGTCTTTTATTGGCATATGTGCATACGCCCCCAAATGCCCTGGTACGGCCGAGAGTGAGGAGAGTCCGCTCTCCCTCTCCAAATGCTCTCACACGGCCACGCGTATATAGCCTCTGCCAGGGAAGTCCTACTCACTGCCTTCTCGTGGCGGGGGTGTTGTTTACGAAAATGAGAGGACGAAAAGCGAATGTCTGGCGCTTTAACCGGATCACAAACCAATGGTGCACATGGGCTCCAGTATCCTGCGGGAACAACTGGCGTATGAACCAATTGTTGGTCACCGGCTTCCATGGGACTGCATCTCCTTACGATGCTCCACTGCCTTGTGGATCAGACCTTCAGGTCGAAGGCTCGGGGTGTGGCCCCCTAAGAAAACCACCTGCTTCGGTTTGGGCACCCGTGCAGTATCACAGCCCTCACACATATCGAATGAGATTTGTGTGGCGCATATGTATTTGGTGCCTCTTTGTACCAATATCTATGTGTTGAAATAATAAATAATAATAATATAATATGTGCATACTGTGTGTATTACCTCGATATTGCCTTGATTTACACAAGCATTATAAGCAAAGATGGATAATATACTTGTTAAGACATTTTTATATGAAAATTAAAAGGTCAACAAGACAGGTTAAAGGTAAGCTGTAGCAAAGGAAAAAAAACAACGTGATGACCTCTCCGGATAATAAATCAGTATTACCAGGGTTGGTTAAGGGTAAGGATAGATTGTTTTTGAACGCATAAAGGGGGTTTCAGTTTCTGTATAGCCAAAGCTTCAATAAACCTTAGTATACGTCCTTGAAGGTTTTTGTATAACACTACAGATACTGACTTGATGTCAATCTTATGACGAGTCTCAATCAAATGTTTCACAATGGAGGATGATGTCTGTCTATCCTGTGTGATCAGATTGTTCAAAATATATTGCGCAAATATATCACATAATTCTGATAAACTTCGTCTTCTCATTGCATTATCAAAATCTGATGGAATGACAATATAATAATCCATAGATTACATCCATGTATTTTGAAGAAGAAAAAAGTGGGTAGTACTGGAATTAAATGAATGATACTAAGTAAAAATAGCAAATTGGTTAATAAAATTAAATAGTTATAAATTGAAATTATCTTTCTTTATGTTACACATGTCTAATCACACACTCTGAAGCTCAAAATTGTGTAGTAGAAAATAGATTGTGAGAAATTCAGGGGGTAGTTGAATCAAGATATTGCATGATTTAATAAGGTTATTAGTTTTTGGTCTGAGTTATGTTGATAGGTACAAACATAGTGGTTAGGGTCACACTAATAGTATTTCTCGACCTTAACGCGGCATTTGACTCTGTTGATCAAGGCAGTGTTTATCACTGAAAAGACTACCAAAGAAGTACATTGACCTTCTAAAGGCTCTCTACTCGAACACAACTGGTAGAGTGAGAACTTATGGCGAACTGTCATCAGAATTGATTACCTCAAGTGGTGTTCGTCAGGGCTGTCCACTCTCTCCATTCTTGTTCAACTTTGTGGTTGACGTGCTCTTACAGATAACACTTTCCTCGTCTAGATTTCCAGAGGTTGAACTTCTACCGGGAGATTCACTTGTTGGCTTAGAATATGCCGATGACATCGTTTTATTTGGTGAAGACGCTGACAAAATGCAGTCTTATGACCACTCTAAGCCACAGTGCTAGCATGTTCGGGATACAATTCTCCCCCTCGAAATGCAAAATGTTACTTCAGGATTGAGTTGCATTGACACCTGAACTAATGATAGGGAGTGAAGTAGTTGGGTGTGTCGACCGCTCCACTTATCTTGGAAGTCTCATCAGCCCTTGTGGTCTGGTGTGTGACGAAATCTCAGCACGGATACAGAAGTCTCGACTAGCTTTTACCAACTTGCGTCATTTATGGCGTAGGCGAGAAATCCGTCTATCAACCAAAGGACGGGTTTACTGCGCAGTAGTTCGTTCCGTCCTACTTTATGGCAGTGAAACATGGCCGGTGAGAGTAGAGGATATTCTTGGGTTACTAGTATTTGATCATAGGTGTCTTCGAAACATTGCTCGTATATGCTGGAACCATCGAGTAAGTAATGTAGTTGTTAGGAAACGGGTACTAGATAAGGATGAAGTAGTGAAACTTCATCATTTGAGATGGCTGGGACATGTGTTACGTATGCCCAGAGACCGGCTGCCTCGACGTGCGATGTTCAGTGGTATAGGAGTAGGTTGGAAGAAAGCTAGGTGCGGCTAGACTAAAACATGGCACAAGTCCATGAAATCACTGACAAGTGGACTGAGTCATGTTGGTAGGTGTAGACAACCTGGTTGGGATCTGTGAGACCATAGCAACCGATGGTTAGAGACCCTGAATGACATGGCTCAAAATCGTTTGCAATGGTGCAGGTGAATCTAAAAATTTGATCTCCTTATTCCTCCTTGTCTTTTTTTTCTCTTCCCAAATTTATTTCACTGGATTATACTCATTGAATAACATCTTCAAACCGGCATGTTTCCGATGACTGTTTTTACTTTTACTACCTCTACCACTATGGGATTTGAATCGACCACTGCATCTCTGTTCCAATGTGGTGCGCAACTCGAGCAAACGTACGCATGTACGGAGTTCTACGTTGTTACAAACTGTGTGGTTAGGGTTCAAACAATTAGTTTTCTTATTGTTTAAAGACATCACTGCAATAACTTGTTTGAATTCATTTTTTTACCTTGCTTTAAAAGATGTGTCTTAATACTTCATAGTATTTTAGTCTTTTATCTCCAAACTTGTTGTTCAAATATATTTTTTGTTTTCACTCTGGACACCTTTATTACTTTTAAGTTTTTGCATCTTATTTGATTGATTTCATCTCTGTACTGAAATAAGGTTCTTCAACTTAAGTTGATACATATTCGAGTCTCTTCTTACGTAGCTTATAAGGGACTAGATCTCTTTCTTTTCGGCAAAATCACTATTTCTTCTGCTAGATAAAAATTTGTAATACAGCCTTTACTGTAAACCACCTCAAGATTTAACTGACGATAATAAAATCAGCTTAAATAATCCATTCTCTCTTCATCTCAGCAGTTGTTTCTTTTATGTAACACTCAACTTTCGACTGCTTAGAATATTTGGACACGGTGGAAAATAATTTTATGGTTCAGTTTTTACCTACCTTTTTGATGTGTGGGATAGAAAAATAATTACTGGTTGCTTGCCTAGTCAGACTAGTAGATAGTTTAACAGGTATTAGATGTTTCATATATTTTCCTACCCTTACTACTATTTTGATTGTTGGTGTGAAATATACTTACGTTCTAGTCAGGCCAGTCGCGTATTCTTGATCTGAGTTGTGTTGGATTTCTGTAAAATAAACACTGGGAGGGTTTATGGTGTAGATTATCGTCTAAAGTAAATTAAAGTTCAATTTGTGCAAAGAAGGAAATCAAGCGTTATTTCACTTTTTTAGTAGTACTCTTTTTGTACCTGCTTTAACGTTGGCCACTTCATTTTAAAAAAGTTATTGACCACTATCGTCCTTTTGGCCTATTTGAACCGAAATGTAGTAACGGGATTGAAATTTCGGAATGATATTTGTCTGATTTTGTAGTCAGTCTTATCTTATTTGTGTTGAGAGACTAGAATCCGCCTTAATACCTGTGAACAATGTTATCGCTCATGTTAACTGAACATCGAGATAAGCATGATTTCACGTTGGAGATTTCATGATTCTTGAAAGCTCGTCAGGGTAAAGTATAAATGCCAATAAATTCTATGCACACGGCTGGAGTTATAGCACATTCAGAGTTAAACTCCTCGATTCGGAAAAGCTGAGTTCTTATGGAGGAATGTGTCATTT